TTTTGTTTTGCGTGTGTTTTCTCTGCTTACTTCCTTCCTTAACCTCTCTTTCGATGTGGGGTTTCGGACGGGGGGGGGAGGTAGAATGTAAGAAGTACAACGTAAGACTTTCCATAGGAATGGAAAATCAGTATGTGCACTTGGAGAATAAAATTTTTCTTCCTCTTCAGAAACCTAATGTGGATTCTGTTGTTAAGGCAGGAAGTAAGCAGAGAAAAAGTAAACATGAGGATGTAAAAGGCATAAATAATGCTCCCAGAATGCTTGCAAGAGGGCAAGGGTAGAGCATGTAACATCTGTTCTGTAAACACATCAGACTGATGTGGCTTATCCTGGAGACAAGATTAATGCAACAAACAGGACAACATTGAAGCAGAAGTAAGGAGCAGCTGACCTGAGTGAGATTGTATAGGAAGGATTTAAGAGAGCAAATGAAATGAGGAAAGGTCTCTGAGGTGGCCTGCTTCTGGCAGAATATACTGTGAGAAAATAGAGGATGTCGTATAAGTGTGACACACCTGTTGTATGTACACTGTGATTTGAATGTATGTGAAATTCTGGAAGCAAGTTACTTTGCCAAAAAATACTTTAGTGCTTTATGCTCTTGTATGGCAGGTTTGTAACAGAGTAACTTCAGCAGCTTTGTGTAGTGGTTTAAAGATGCTAAAATGTTTAGTTCAATGTAATAAGATGGACTGTAAATTTAAACAATCAGTGCTATTCATTTCAGATTTTTGTGTTTTATGTATATTTATTTACTACTTTGGGTGCCTTTAGGCCTTGGTGCTCGGGGCAACCTGCCTGCTTTGTGTATGGGTGAGACCACTGGTGGCTCACATCACAAGGGAGGACACTACAACAGGGTCCTTGTGAAGCAAATGCAACTTGCATTGTAGCTTCTTAAACTATGAAATTGTAAATTCCTAATCAGTGACATGGAAGAAAGATAGTTTTATTACAGTTTTGTTCTCTTGCTTAGCCCTTATTCCAAGTGGGATGTGCTGCCCTTGCAGGGAAGGTAAAGATGGATGTTCCTGAAGAACATCTGCAGCTTTTTGAAGCTTGAGTTCTTCCCTTCCACCTGCCAGCACTAAATCGTTCCTGCTCAAGCCAAGTATGTTTGCTGAGACAAACTATTTTGCCTGAGGAGAATGCTACGCTTTCCTACATCCCCCAACCCCCACAGCTTCTATGTCATTCCTGCCTGATCCCGTGTGGCTTTGGATGAAGTGCAAAACGTTCTCGGCACCTCTAGGCGGTACTGCTGAGACCAGTGGGTTCAGAGCCCTGACCGGAGGGGAGCCCCCTCCTGCATTCAGTTCCTTCTGGATGTGAGCTGGAGGCGCTGGGGCTGTTTCCACCGATCCTTCTAGAGCAGGGCTCGGCTGAAACGGCAACCACGTCACATTCACCTGCTTCGCAGGGCACAGCAGAAGGTGATGCCTCAGCAGCTGTCTGCCTCCAGCTCTGTAAGGGAACAGCAGAAATTTTTTCCCTAGCATATTGTGTTTAGCAAAGGAATCCTTCAGTATTAGTAGTAGATGAGATATGTATGTGGGGAGATCTCGAGAGATATTTGCCTCTTTTATAATGCACCCTTTTTCTCAAGGGTTAAATCATTCTCTGCTGACACTTGTAAGATTTGAAAGGCTTAGCAGCTATGAAATAAAATCCTTTACTAGTTTCTGATACTTAAACAGATTTGCATGACTCTCACATTTTACATGGGAATTGTAACAAGCTTCACTAGCGCTCAAAGCACATACTCAGTGCTTCAGTATGTATGTACTAAACTGAATGGCTCTAGGAGGGGCTCTGTGATCTTTAAAGCAAAAACATATTAAAAATGAGGATTATTTGCCTTGTTTTATGTACAAGATCAGTGTGGCTTTGAAAAGCATGACTTGTGCTGTCTTAGGCAAGGATGTGAGGAAAGCAGGATTTTATTTACCCCTCTTCAGTTGAACGTTTCTCGGCCATATCTGAAACTAATGAATGTAAACTTGTGCCTATTTTTTTTTCTTGATGTTCTAAAGGTGTAAATATCTGTCTGTGTTTGGCTTCTTCCTTTTTTTTTTTTTTTTCTTTTTTTGCTTTGTGGCTATTTTTTTTCTTCCTAATACCTCTTATCTTAGGATGTGGGCATTACAAGTTGAATAAGTCAAATAAAACTTTCCTTCACGATCTTGGTTTTTGTTCTTGAACTACCTAGAGAAACCTGCTAGAAACTGATACCTTGGTTTCCAATACAGGTGGCAGTTGTGGCAACACCCTTCCCAGGAGAGCAATAGTATAAAGCAAAGTTCCTTTGTCTTAGAGTCAAAATGCTAAAGTCAGAGCAAGTGAATTCTCATAGTTTTGTCTGTATGAAATTCTACTCAATAGTCTATACCCTGAGATCCAACAAGCTATAAAATAAACATGACAACTCACTGTACTTCGAGCAGTGGGTGAAAACTCCAGGGTTTCATTTTTCAGATTTGTCTTTTTCTCTTGGTGGTTTGATTGTGTTTACATGTGGTGTGCATAGGATAGCTGTCTGGGATTGTGATAACAGATAATCTCAGTAAGGAGCAGAATCTCTTGGACATTGTCCAGGTTTCTTATAGTATCCTTATCAGTCTCCCAACCTATGTGAAAGAAAAGCAGAGTAAAGACTGTGGGCTGATATTCGAGATGACCATCTGCTGAGCGATGCAGCAAACTCATCTTATTCCTCTGAGGCAATTGCACTGTGTTTAAATACTTTCCTTTTCAAACGACACAGAAAATAGATTGAGTCACATAGGTTGCTTGCTTCCACGGTGACTGAAATTTCAACCATATGCTTAAAAGAAGCTTCTGTTAGCATTAATGCAAGCCTGTCATGAACTGTGATATATGCAAATAAAATGTTCATGAATAGGAGAACTTCTGTCTCTTGCCACACCCAGCATGTTAGCTGAAAGAGTTAAAAAGGGGTTTACCTTGGTTTCCATGGTGTCAGACTGTATACTCATGACATCTTCAGAGCAGCTTTGTGCTTTCTTATGCTGATGGAACGGAGCAAAGGCTGCTCTCTGTATTGACACTTTCTTCTTATCTTCAGGAAGGAGTGGGTGAACGCAGCAATGAAGCCCACAATTTTCAGTACTTGTCATGGTACATAGATCAAATGTAATCCACTCCGCCAGCACAACTCTATATTCAAGAGCGGGGAAAGGAGGAGATTTATTTAGCTCAAATAGTGAAAGCAGTAAATCACTCACTCTCTCTTATATCACTCCTCTGAAATGAAATGAACTTCTGCAGTAAATATTTTCTTTCTTTCCAAAATAATGAGTCTTCGATGCTATTTTTCTCGCTATGACAAGATCAGTGCCAACCTGAAAAGCTTTTAAAATGAATTGGATACAATTGCTATTTGAAAGCTGCAGGAAAAAATGTGTTCAGGCCAGGATAGCCCAGTCCTGATGTACAGGAGACAACCCATCCCCTGCCTCTTGCCTCTGTGTGTCACTTCCTGCACTGCTCTTGTGCACTTTTAATATTTATTTTTAACTGTAATTAACTTTGGCTTGCTCTTCAGGTATATTTGCCTTTTGCGAGCTCTTTTTGTCTGTATTCCCTTCTCTGTGTGTCCTGCTTTGTCCTCGGGCTCTCCAGGTAAGCGTAGCTCTGTGACCACATAACGGGACCGTTCATTTTGATTGGGTCTTCAGTTCTAAAGGAATTTTCAGCAGAGCTCACAGCTGGTGCCCGCGTAGTGCAAAATGAAACGTTATGCTTTAAGTAGTGAAATGATGCAGTGCAGCTGCAGCAATCTCACAACACAGGGCGTCCCCTGTTCCTCATCCACGCGCGCTGCCGTCAGGAGCTGAGCGGGACGGGGCGCCTCAGGCCCCACACGGCCGCTTTAAGCGTCCCCGCCCGCAAGCCCCTTCCTCAGCCCCCCGCGCCAACCGCCACAGCCGATTGGCTAAGAGAGGGCTGCAATGGAAGCTGGTGATTGGCTAATCTGCATAGCTCTTCCCTCCAATGAGGGAGGATGCTGAGGCCCGCCTTTCTCTCGATTGGTATTCCGGCTACCTGCGCCCCCATTCCATTGGGCAGCGATGCTAGCAGCCTATTGGCTCCGCCACTCCCCGGGTTCGATTTTTAATTGGGTGGCTCTGGGTTGGCCGGCGCCTCACCTGCCGCTCATCGTCATTGGCTCGCTGCTCTCATCGCCCCCGCCCATTGGTCGCACCGCCCCTTAACTGCGCTCCAATTGGCTGTGGTGGCCCGGCCCGGTATCCGGGTAAGATGGCCGCAGTCGGAGAGTGCTCGCTCCCTGCTCCGTGGCGGCCGGTCTCCCTCACTCACGTCGAGTATCCCGCAGGTAAAGCTCCGCTTCGCCCCCGCCCGACCTCCCCGGTCCTCACTGCGTTACTCCTCTGGGCGGGCCCCGCCCGCCGCTCCACGGTACCTCTGAGGGCCAGGCTGGCGGCTGCCAAATAGTGAGCCATTGAGAGAGCGCCTGGAGGCGGCGGGGCGCGCGTGCGCGCTGGGGGACGGTGGAGCTTGCTGCGGGATAGTGAGCCGCGAGGGGGGACTCGGCGCATGCGCGCTGCGCGGGGCGCTGTGCCTCGGGGGCTGCGGGGATGGGGCCGTGAGGGGAGCTGGGGGCGAGCTCCCGTCCCCACAGCGATGCGAGGGCCCTGCGGCCCGGCCCGCCTTCCCCGCCGCCCTTCGGTGAGGTTGCGTGAAGCTCTGAGGTCCCAGTGTGCGGCGGTAAACGTCTGTGCACACCGCGGGTGTCGCGGCAGCGGGTGGGTCTGGGGGCTCTTCAGGTGCTTTGCGCTGTGTTGAGGCAGAGAGACTTTATTTTTTCATGCTCGTAGTCCAAAAATAAGGTAAAGTAGTGCGTGAA